GGAACGTGGCCAAAGTCCAGCCCTGTGCTGATTCCCTGCAACACATCCCACAGGTCCCCACCCCAGGGACACTGGCACAAAGCAGATCTCTAGCTGGGCTCAAATGATGGCATTTTCCCCAGTTAAAAGGTCTGGTTTCGTGTCAAAGCCTTCAAACAAATTAAGGGCCCTGAGGAACCTCCCTCATCACAGCTTTGCCCGGTGAAGAGCTAAATGGGCAAATCAAGCAGGCAAAAGAGCTGTCAGGTGGACAGAGAAGGTCCTGCTGGGCCCCTGGGCTGAAGGAATGACAAAAAGGCAATTTTCTGCAAGGTAGAAGTTTGATTTTGGAAATCAGTGTGTCAGAAGTTAACAGGCTGACAGCTCTTGTCTGGGGAAAATTGCTCCCAGGCATTAAAGCCCCGGCTGTCACTCCCTGCTCCCAACACTCCCAGCCAAGGCAACATCTCACATCAGCTGGGGATGAAGAAACCAACACTTCAGGAGAGCTCAATCAAGCAGTTATTGCTTATTTGAAGTGAGAACAAACTCACTGCCAATCTTCAAGGCCGTGTTTGCTCCCTAAATGCTGGCACAGCACTCCAGGGTGGACCAAAGCTCTCCACCAAGGGTCTGTGCTTGATCTCAATTCATGCTCCTGACAGTCCAACACTCTCACAGGGCTTTAACCAGCAGCTGTTGGGTGGAGAAACACCATTCCTGGCTCCATTTCTCTCCTCCCTCTTTCCAACCTGGTCTCCACATTTCTCCTTCCGTGACAGCTGCTCTGACCCAGGAAAACCAGACCCCTGTCCATGGCCAATTATGAGGTTATTTAAAGCTTTCAGCCCACGCTGCAATACATGCTTCGAATTCACTTCAAACTTCCAGCAGCCGTGAGAGGAGACACCAATAAAGCCACAGGCAGAAGAAACAGGTATTTACCTGGGCCATCAATGCCATCCTACCAGCTTTGGGCATCTCCTGCTTGAGCCCTTAAAGCCTTTCCATAGAATCACAAGAGTCATTAAGGTTGGAAAAGCCCTCGAGGACCATCAAGTCCAGAATCACTAAGGCTGGAAAAGCCCTCTAGGACCACCAAGTCCAGCTGTTAACCAGCACCACCACATTCACCTCCAGACCGTGGCCCCAAGTGCCACATCCACACTTTCCAACACTTCCAGGAGGTTTCCAGCTCTTTCCAAATGCAGACCTGAAACTCTTCCAGCCTGCACCTGGTGAGTTTAGGACTGTCACCACCAGTTCTGGATCTTCTTTTCTGCCTTTCAGGGACCCCCCCAAGTGCTCTGCAGACCTTCCTGGGCAGCTGGATGCTGATCACACCCAGCTCTGAGCAGAGCAGGAGTACTGTGCCCACCTCCACTGGCTCAGGACAACCTTGAGGACCAAATAAGTCAGAAGGAACCAAATTTAAGTTCCTAACACACTGTAAATGTTGCCTGGGGCCAAGTGATGTGTCTGGACCCAGTGCTGATGTGGGATCTGTTCTATTTACCACCGAAGTGACCAAATAACGGGCATCAATCTGTCTCTACAGCACACGCAGGAATATTTTAGTGACGAAAAAGAGGCTCCAGCACACCCTCACCCACACAAAAGGCTTCTGCAGAAGTCCTGGAGGCTGCAGGGGTGAGCTTTTATCACCACTGCCTGCAACAAGCTTTGTGGGCAGCACAATTCCCTCAGCAGTGCCCTCCCCTCCCCAGCCTGGCACGAGCGAGGGTAAGTCGGAGCTGCCTGAGCCACTTTCCCCTCCTGCAAGCGTGGGGTTTTTTTTAATTGACTGTGGAATTTGCAGATATTATTCTCAGACAATACATCCTATTGATTGTAATTACCATCCTCGGAGCTGCGATGGGAAGAATATTAAAACCATTAAGGCCGATTTGGATTTTATTGGAGCCATTAGCGGAGCGGCGAGCGGGGCGTCGCTGCTTCCCCGGCACCTCCACAGCTCCCCGGAGCCATAAATCATCTCATGGCACATTTGCTACTGCTTTGGAGACAGCCAGGAGTGGAGCAAAGGGGAAAAATTAAAAAAATGGGAGGGGGTGGATCCGTGCAGCTGGGTGATGAGATTGATCCAAGCATCTCCGTGATGAACCTGCTGAGCAGCCGCTGCCCTCAGAAAGGATGGGATTTCTTCCCTCAGGTGGAGTCCAGAAGATTCAAGGGACATTTAACACAACCCACTGGGCCTGTAGCTGCTTGTCTGCCCAAGTGCAGCTTCAAAAACAGTCATTTCACCTTTATTTGGGTAAAAAAAAGGAAATATTCTCCATTTCTAGACACCATTTTCCCACCTCACCCATGTGGACCCTCCCAGAGCCATGTGGCATTAGGGACCTGGGTGGCACCTTGAGAAGAACCTGCCCAAGGATGTGGCATGGCCAGGATGGACAGATCCTGACCCAGCTGGTCCTGGGAGGTCTCTCAGCAGCATCACTTCACTTGCACTCAGAGCAGCAGCTGCTTTCACATCCCATCCCTGGTGAGGAGACGATTTCAGACCACACCGGCCAAGGCCTGTTCCAGTGAAATTTCCCTTTTCCTGAGATATTCTGCAGCAGTTGGAGCAGCCCAGTCCATCCCCTCGGAACTCGCTTCCTGGCTGCTTTCACTTCATGATTCCCATGTTTACAAACACTCGGGCTTCCAGCAGGGCAAGGCAAGGTTTTGTTATAAACAGCAAGACACTGAACCGCAGGGAAATGTCAAGGGCAGGAAAAACAAAAATAAAACCAGAGATTTTCTCTTCGGTCTGGTTTAGCCTTGAAGGTCCATGCAGGGGAACACTGGGTGCTACAGACACAGCCCAGGAGGGGCAGGAGGAACCATGGGGGCATCAAACACCCCTTCTGAGCAAGCCAGGAGGTGAAATGTCCCTTCCCAGCAGGGTCTGGGCTGCTGCCAACAGCCCTTTCCCTTCGATCCAGGTGGGAAGTGGAAGGAGCAGAGCTGGACTATCTCCTCCTCCTTTACCCTGTGAGCCAGGGGAAGGGGAATCCTGGAGCAAACACAGGGATGGAAAGCAAACCAGGAGCTTCCTCAGGTGCCTCCAGGACAGCCAGTGGGGTGGAGAGTGGAGGAAGGTCTCTCCACTGGAAAACTCACTGTAGAGTGAAAAACTCCAGTTGCTGTGGGTGTGAGAGAAGCAGCAGCTCAGTCCTACCCGTGGGAGGTGCTCTCAAGGTGTTGGGCTCCTCGATTCCCAAACCTGGGGGTCCATCACCAGCTCCACGTGCTGCCGAGGAGCGCTTGGTTTGCACAGCACTGCAAACCCCGGCTCTCTGCGGGACAAGTCGGGGCGTGAGGCAGCCTGATTACCTTCCAGAGCCTTTGTGCTGGCAGGAGAGAACGGGAGGATGGAGGAGGAAAATCCTTACAGGGGTCAACAGGCAAAATTCCTTCGCTGACAGCTCACCTGGAGAAGCACATGCCTGGAGGCAAAGAGTTTCCAGCAGTGGGTGCTGCCAGCAGAGTTGATCAGATAAGGCTGCAGAAAGGAGCTCCCAGACCACAAAAATGAGGTGGGTATTTTTTCTTTAAGCCGAGTTTCTGCACAAATGACTGTAATTAAGGATGTTACCTGTCAGTTCCTCAGGGCGCCGAGGCTACAACGTTCAGGCTTTGGAAAAAAGCACCCCCTTGCATGGTAGCAGTCCCACTCAGCCCTCAGCTTACTCATCATGCCCAGCACCCACCCAGATTTGTCACCAATTAGTTGTAATTCAAGGCTTTGGGGGGGAAATCCCCACCTCCCTGAGCTCGATGACTTCACAGGAAGTAAAGGGCTGGAATGCCTTTTAAAAACCCAAAAATCCTGACAGAAAGCCAGGCGTGCCAGAGGCGAGGCTGTAGGGTCTGGCTGGGGAGGCACACGCGGCTCATCACGTGTTCCAGCGCATCCCAAGGCTCCCTGCAGAGCTTCCAGGAGATTTTGTGGATTCCTTTGAATTCATACATTATGGAAGAGTCTCAACCAGAGTCACCGGTGTGTCTGCAGTGCTTGTTCACACAACATCACTGCAGCTCCAAAGTTCTGAGCAATTCCTAAGTCACTCTGCAAAGAGTGAGATCACACCACAATTTACAGGGTTTGCTGCAAAACAGTGTTTGGGGGTTTCATCCCGGCTGACAAACAGCAGGTTCTTAGGGAAGATTCTTTCCCTTAGGAAAGGGGAACGTGTACCACCAGCCTGGCACCACTCCCAGTCTGGGAAAAGCTGTTATTCCTCTGCCTCTCTAAGGAGAAGCCACCTCTCAGACAGCCTGGTGGTGGCACCTTGCACCCACCAGGCACCAACAGCATCCCTGGCCCCATCCCTGGAGTAGCAGGGAATCAGCTTTCACCGTGGCCAAAGATATTCCAGGAAAGTTAGAAAATCACAGAATGGATTGTGTTGGAATGGGCCTTAAAGCTCATCTCATTCCCTGGGCAGGGACACTTTCTACTAGCCCAGGTTGCTCCAAGCCCCGTCCAGCCTGGCCTTGGACACTTCCAGGGATGGGGCAGCCACAGCTTCTCTGGGCAACCTGTGCCAGGGCCTCCCACCCTCACAGTCAAGAATTTCTTCCCAGTATCCCACCTAAATCCACCCTCCTGCAACTTAAAGCCATTCCTCCCTGTCCTGTCCCTCCATCCCTTGTCCCAAGTCCCTCTCCGGCTCTCCTGGAGCCCCTTTAGGCCCTGCAAGGGGCTCTCAGCTCTCCCTGGAGCCTTCTCTTCTCCAGGGGAACCCCCCCAGCTCTCCCAGCCTGGCTCCAGAGCAGAGGGGCTCCAGCCCTGGGAGCATCTCCGTGGCCTCCTCTGGCCTCGCTCCAGCAGCTCCACATCCTTACGCTGGGGACCCCAGCGCTGGACGCAGCACTCCAGGTGCCATCCCACCAGAACAAACCAATTCCCCCCTCCAACCTCCACCACCGACCCCCAAACGCCCCCCCCCCCCTCACAACCCCCTCCCCGCTCCTCCCCAGCACCGCGACCCTTCCCCACTCACCGAGGCGGGGTTGGCGCGGGGGTTTCTCTCCTGCTCCCGGCACTGCAGCCCCGCCAGGTGCCTCTCCAGGGCTGCCCAGTCCATCGCGGGGGGCTGCGGCTCCCGGGGGGGCCTCGCCCCGCCGCCCCTCCGCCCGGCCGGCCCCGCGGCCGCCCCCCGCTCGGTGCGGGGCGGGGGGTGCGGGCGGGCCGAGCGCCGGGGGGCACCGGCGGGCACGGACCCGCACCCGCGCCCATGGGCGGCGGGGCAGCGCGGCGGGCACGGCGGGGACCCCCCGTCCTCCTCCTCCGAGTCCTCCTCCGAGTCCTCCAGCGCCGCCAGGTCCAGGCTGCTGGGGCACGGCGAGGACTTGCCCTCCGAGCACGGCGTGGCTTTGCTGGAGTTGGATTCCGAGCTGGAGCGGCTGCTGCCGGCGTCGCTGCCTAAATCCATGCCATCCTCCCGGGAATCCTGGCGGAGAGAAGCGAAGGGGAGCCGTGGCGGCGGCGCCGGGAGCGCTCCCGCCCGCCGGGCACCGGGAAGCGCCGGCCCCGGGGCCGCCCCCGCGCTCCGGAGCTGCCGCCGGCGGGGCGGCCCCGGGCGGGGCGGGGAGGGGCGGGCGGGGGGCTCGGGGGGTGCGGGGCGGGCGGGGGGTGCGGGCTCGGGGGGCGGTGCTGCCGCGGCCGCCGCGGGGGGAGCCGGGGCCGGGCGGGGCGGAGGCTCCGCCGCTCGGGGGCTGCGGGAAGCGCCGTTTGTGCCCTGCGAGAATAGGGGGGGAAATCGGCGTTTTTGTTATTTTTTAAAAAAATTATAACTACAGTGTGAAGTCATGTCGTTGTTATAACTGTTATAACTATTTCTTTCTTCTGCAATAAATTATTATTATTATTCACGATTTCCGCGGTTGGGTCGGGACAATCCCGAGCACAAACACAGGCTGGGCAGGGAATGGAGGGAGAACAGCCCTGAGGAGAAATATTTGGGGGTGTTGGTTGACCCAGCCATGTGTTCTGTCAGTCCCAAACCCATCCTCCCGTGCCCTGGGCTGATCCCACAGCGTGAGCAGCAGGGGAAGGGGGGGGGGGGATTCTGCCCCTCTGACCCATTGAGGTAAGACCCTACTCTCCAGCTCTCAGGCCCCCAATATCTGAAGGACATGGAGCTGTTGGAACAAGTCCAGAGGAGGGCACGGAGATGCTTCAAGGGCTGGAGCCCCTCTGCTCTGGAGCCAGGCTGGGAGAGCTGGGGGGGTTCCCCTGGAGAAGAGAAGGCTCCAGGGAGAGCTGAGAGCCCCTTGCAGGGCCTGATGGGGCTCCAGGAGAGCTGGAGAGGGACTTGGGACAAGGGATGGAGGGACGGGACACAGGGAATGGCTTCAAACTGACAGAGAGTGGATTTAGATGGGATATTAGGAAGGAATTCTTGGCTGTGAGGGTGGGAGGCCCTGGCACAGGTTGCCTGGTCCAGTGGAAGGTGTCCCTGCCCATGGCAGGGGGTTGGAACAATGTGATGTTTAAGTTCTCTTCCAACCCAAGCCATTCTGTGATTTTATGGGTTTGGAGAGGGGGTGGCATCGTCTCTGCATGGGGCAGTGGGTTTGCAGGGAGGCTCAGTGACAACTCGAGTGACATCGTCCCTCCCACGCCCCGAGGGACCACAGAGCACCCGCCACAAACCCCCACTTCCACACTCTCCACTTCTTCCCTTCTTTCCAAGTAATTTAAAGTAACTAGTTAAGAGTCTCCTATAAATAACTCTGCTAAAAAAAACTAATCTAGTTTCTGCATTCTGGGTCAGCACAGCCAAGTTTAACACGCAAATGTTCCCATTCCCAAATCCATGGTAAGAGGACCTTTTAAGGTTGTGTGGCTGAAATGGAGAACATTAATCACACAGATGAGCAGCTTCAACACGTGGTTTGGGAGATGTGGCAGCTCTGGGTGGTACATCCCTACAGTCCAAACCCAGTGGATACAGTGGGGGAGAGTTTAGGGGATGGTAAAGTCCTGGCAGAGGGAGAAACAGCAACTAGTCTTAATTAAAATGAAATTCAAACATTAAATTACATGCTTTGTGGCAGAAAGAGGGAAAACAGCTCTATATTATCACACTGTTTTCAGCACAAATCCAAACCAGCCCCATCCCAGACACTGTGAAGAAAATTAACTCCAGCCCAGCCCAAACCAGCCCAGGGGGGTTTAAAAGTGTCCTATTGTTTAGGATGGGGAGGGTGATGCCAGACATGGCACAAACACCCAGGCAGTGGGCACAGGGCAGGGGGGGAGTGCTGGGGGGTTCTCCCCTTTGTGGTTCCCTGCAGTCCAGCCTGGCTTTTTTAGTTATTCCAAAGGGAAGAGAGGGAGAAGGGAAACATCTGCAGCCAGTTAACTCCTGGGACGTTTGAACTGGTTGCTATGCAGCTGTTCATCCTGAGGAGACACAGACCTGCCCAGGGGAGAGGGGGACGTGCCTGCTCTGCCACTGCCAAATCCTCCTCAGGATTTGTCTCTTTGGCAGCAGGGACTGACCACCAGGATGGGGGAATCCTGTCAGCCCCAGGAGCTCAGGGGACCAAAACACCAGTGCCATGAGGCAGGAAAAAGATTGGCACAGAAATAGGGCACAGAATGGGGCTGGAATGTTGGAGGTGTTGTGGAGACATCCACTCTTCTCCCATCTGACTGTGGGGTGGGAATCAGACTCACGGAAAGGTTTGGGTTGGAAGGGATTTCAAGCTCATCTTGTTCCTACCCCTTGTCAAGGGCAGGGACACCTTCCACCAGCCCAGGTTGCTCCAAGCCCTGTCCAACCTGGCCTTGGACACTTCCAGGGATGGGGCAGCCACAGCTTCTCTGGGCAACCTGTGCCAGGGCCTCCCCACCCTCCCAGGGAAGGATTTCTTCCCAATATCCCATCTCACCCTGCCCTCTGGCAGTTTGAAGCCATTCCCTGTGTCCTGTCACTCCATGTCCTTGTAAATAGTCCCTCTCCAGCTTTCCTGTAGGAGATCCTGGCTCCCAGCCACAGCTTCAGAGGGATAACAGGGGCCTGTCATACACAGGGAATAATAATACGGATTATTTGGCCAAGGTGGGATTAACCTCTGGGCTTCAGTGTCTCCACCAGGTGCTTTCCAGGTGACCAGCACAGATTAACCCAACTTTACTCTCCTGACTACCCAAGGCTTCATCCCTCCTCCCAGCTCCATCCCCCCTCACCTTCCAGGCTGCCACAGCTTTTGGGTTGAAACTCCAAAAAAAAAAAAAAAAGAAAAAAAAAATCAGGAACTGTGCAAAGTGCAGGTACAAAAATAATTCCAGCAAATGGCAGGAGGGAGCAAGAGCCTGGGAATTAATTACATTGGCAGAAGTTTTTACCACTTGCACCCCTGTAAGGTTGGGAGGGGGTGGCACTCGACACGCTGGGAGGGGTGGAATTCTTTATTTGGGTCTGTTTGAATGTCACCACCACCCTAAAAGTGAATATCTGCTGAGCAAAGGGGAGGAGCTGTTCCCTGGTTCCAGTCTGGCAGCCACAGGCTTGTGGAAAGCTTTATTTATAGGATCTCTGTGCGCCTGATCAATTAGGGAGGTTTCTTTTCTTCCATGCCACCAGTGCATTTATAACATCTCCTACTCCCAGCCCTTGAAAATGCCTCCCTGTCTTCAAAAGGTGTCCTCTCACGAGTTTAACACATCACACACGTGCCTGATGATTTTTCCATGTTTCCCCTCTTTTTTTTTTTTTCATTGCAGACAGATAAAATCATTTTGCATCTTGTAGTAAACCCTCCACATTTCTAATTATACATGGAGAACATATTTTCACTTGACCCTTCACAAGAAGAAAGCAGATATTGCTATTCAAAACACATATGTAATTTATCTCTTTTACAAGCCGACATCAAATAAGTTCCTTCTCCAATGCAACGAAAAACTTGAAATTCATCCGAATTTTAAAGGGTGAAGAGTGTGAACACAACCCCTTACAGATGAAAGAAGGTGCTTTACAGTTATTTTATTCAGTGCAAAGGAGGTTTTAATACAAACAAGGCATGTGGAATTTACTCTGAAGCAGAAATACGTCAGGAAAATAAGTTCCTTATTACTTCCATGGGATGAATGCAGGGCTGCTTTAAAAGCCAGTTTGCTTATTACTGTGAGCTATTAAATTTATTTCATTTGACTATTTTGGTGCTATTTTAACCCCAGTTTAAAATGGGTTTCCTGTGCTCTTTCTCAGGCTAAATTGCTGAAGCTTTTGGGTCAGGAAAGGAGGAAAGTAGGGAAGCAGGGAAGTCCCAACCACCCTTAAGCTGCCTCCTTCTCCTGACCTTCACACCCCATCCAAATCCATCTCCACCAGCTGGGTCTTCATCTCACCCATGGTGCAGCACCCTCACGCCCACCTGGAGCTCAAAAGCTGTGTGTTTGCCCTAAAAACTGGTTTCTGGGAGGATTTCTCTTGAAGTGACTCCCACCCAGAGCTGCCCACTGTCCCTACACAGCCAGGAACCTCCCGGGGAACAGTGCTGATGGAACAGGGAAGGGTAGTTTCCTCTGAACACAAACAATTCACATTTCCTCCCACCCCTGGAAAGGAAAAGGACTGCCCTGAGATCCATTTCCTTTTCCTGGTGCAACCCCTCTGTGAGTATTTCTGGGATTTGTCACCCCAAGGCTGTCAGAGTTCACCCGGAGTCTGTGTTGGACCCTAACACCCACACAAACAAGCACAGACCTCCCAAAATCAGACTGCCAGTATATCCCCTGGCCCCTAAAATGGCCATTTTCATTCAGAAGCTTTTTTTCGCCTCCCATTTCTCCTCTTTTATAAAACTTTTCTGCCACACATTTTGTGGGTCCAGCCTCACTGAGCTCGCCGTGGAGGGATGCTGATCTTCCATCCCAAATAATGCAGCTCCCAGCTTTGCAGAGAGCACAAGCCAAGGGCAAGAGCTGTGGTTCCTTTCCTTCTTCCTGACCTTCCAAGAGCCAGAGGAACCCCTGGCTTCACTCATGTCATCGCCCTCATTCTGAGGCATCTTGGAAATATCCGCCCTGGTGAATATTCCCTGTTCCAGGAGCCACAACCGTTCCCAGCATCCCATGGACCTGCTCTGGCACCATCTGGGGAAGAGGAGGAAGAGGGAGGAGAGCCCACAGCTGCCTCCACCCAGCGTGTCCCTCAGCAGCTCCATCCCATGCCATCCCCACCTTCTCCCCACGGCTCAGGACGGGGGTTCCACCTTTTCCAAGGGAAAAATAACCAGCTTTTTCTTTTGGCAGGGAGAAGCTCCTGGTTGTGTCCCTCCTGCACGCACACAGATGCCATGGTGACAGACACCTTCCCAGATCACAACAGCAAACAGGAACCCAGGGATTTGTGTCTTAAGGCCAATTCTACCCACGGGAACAACGCACGCCGGGCATCTGGGGCTGTTTCCTGCACCAGCAGAGTCCCCAGCGAGT